CACCACCACCACCACCAATACTTCTATCAGCACCAGCGACAGCACCACTACCAGCGGCGTGCAGATAGTGTGGACAACTGAAAAGTGGGACAAGCTCGATCACACACACAGAAAACGGATAGCCTGCTTGCAAAAACTGACTTGGAGCAAGGATTTTCAGCCGAAGGTTATATACCACAGATCCGTTTTTTTCCTTGTAGAGACACCAAAAGTTCTCTAAGTATCAGCCGAAGCATACCTGTATGTGGTTAGAAAAAGAAGGAATTCGTATCTATTGCTATACGCAACTTTATGCCTCATTAACAATGTTAGATCATCCTTATGCTGCGGTACGACTACAGGGCAGACTTTGAATTATGCTTTCCTTTCTCCATTTTGCTAACTTTTGAAACTATCCGAATGAATGACATCAACCCGTGTTTTTAGTTCCCATTTCCTAACTATCCGTCATGTATGCCTTTGGCACAGTTTGCTTTTGCCTGACCGTCCATAACTATCGGAAATCTTAGCAGGCATAAAAAGTGTTAGAGTTGCATCCTACACATGGTAACTGCGCAGGCTAACACTATTCTTTGCGCTAAGACAATATGGCACTCCCTCCTTTCTTTCTTTCTTTCTTCTCCTTCTTCTCTCTCTCCTTCGTTCTGATAACGATTAATACGTCAGAAATGGCCATTCCGGCCTTTTTTGTCTTTATCAGTACCCCCATTTCAGTGTACATACAATGTGCATATCGATAAAACATAAAGGAGACCGATATGGCCATTTCTGGCTTATTAATCGTTATCAGCTGGCAACACCCAAGTCCTAGTTTAGGGGACATATCCCAGGGGGTTAAGTGGGTTAAACCCTAGCAACTGCGATCTTCAGACCATGGTTACTTAGGAGAGAAGAGGTCTTGGGAAGCCAGAGGAGTAGGAACAGTATATTGTGTACACAGAGGAACGGAGAATAGATGGAAAAAGTCTGACTTGGGAACACACGACCAGCCAGGATACCAGCCGTGGTCCAAGGGCTGGTTTAACAGCGGTCAGGCCAGTGGACAGAAAGGGAGCGTTCATTGGCTGGGTTGGCCTTGACGGTTTTTGGCCAGACAAACAGAGA